AACAGCTTAAAATATGTTGCCTCAAGCATAAACGGCAGATGGTTAATTCATATACTTTGAACAATGTTCCCTGATTTCTTTGTTATTTTTTTTCTAAATTACATTCAAAAATCGCCCTAGACAAATTATATCCAATTAAATCCACAAAAGTTAATGAAACACAATTTATCCTCAAAAGTGTAATTATTGTCTCCAAACCTCATCAGATTTTTTTCTTTGAGAATTCCTCATTTTTTGCAACAGACAATTCCAGCAGTTGATATTGAGGTAAAGGTTCCTACAGATAGTTAATAAACTTCAATTGTGTTTCAAGCCTGCTGCAAATTGGTAATTGTGTTTGCACGCACTAAAGAGAGCCTGTCCTGTCTCATTACACTTCCCTTCTGTAGGTCTTATCAGTGGGACAGAGGGGGCTGAGACTGGCCCTCACGGTTCTGACTGGGCCAAGCTGGTTCAGAGATAGACACTATAGCAGGCTGATGGATGGGGCCTGACAGCTTGTCTCTGTCAAAGTCCCCCGGAGTAAATCTCACAGTCAGCCAGGCCTTGGTCACTGCACTGCGAAAATACAACCGCCTCAAAGCATTCATTTCACAGCAGTCCACAGCAAACAATTCAGCAACTTAGAGTGCATATGGGCAGCATACGGATGGTGTGCACTGTATAAACTGACCAGGCGGAACATTTGGACCACTGACAGTTGATGTGAAAAACCCTCACTCTATGTACTAGTATTGTTAGGAGGCTGAATACTAGGCAGACAGCAAACATTTAGTTCCCAAAGTTTATGTGTGTGGGTTTTGTGGGGGGTATATATACCCATATATACCCACCCACAGTCTAAAATAACCTGGACTATAGATTGGCACAAAAAAAATTAAACATTGTTGCTCATTGCATTATCATGCATCATCTTTGCACCGTTATTCTATTTCTATATTTTATTTTTACTTGTACATATATATTTGTATAATTAAGCCTTATTTGGCACCAGTTTCAAATTATATCCCTTGTGGATCAAGTCTAAAGACTACAGTGGTTAAAAAAGAAATGGCTGTTTAAAGATTAAATGTAAGCAGTAAGACATTTATACTCCACAAATTGAATGAGATTAAATTATTCAAATAAAATAATTTGTGCCACCATAGTCTTCCCCAAATCACACAGTGGGGACTGAATTCTGTATAGTTACAGTGAATTCATAAAAAAAAAAGTGTCATGTAAACATGGAGATAAGAAATGGGTTAAAATAGGTTGAGGTTACGGTTTAGGTTAGGTTATGCTAATTATGGATAAGGTTAGGATCAGTCTACAGGAAATTAAAGTGAGTCATTTTTATGTGTGAAGCAAGGGAAATGGGCAAGAGTTTTATTGTATGAAAATGTCATCATAAATCATTTTAATGAAAAGAACCAATGACTGGTAAAGAGCTCATCTGCTCACGGCCTACTGTATTTTCAACGGTTGTAAGGATATGATCATAAACAAAATCCACAAATTCTCAAAAGTCCATATTTTCCCTGTGAAGTTTTAAATGGTTCAGTCCCATTTACAGGACAGGTTTGGTTTCAATCGCATGCTTCGGTTTAGTTCTTTCCTTCTTAACTGTATCCAGATATAAAGACCCATATATTGCTATTCAACAGTTTTGTCTCTATTGTGCAGTCCTACATTCTAGTCCATTTGCTATCCCATAGTGGCTGAGTGGTCATTAAAAACATGCGCGGTGCAAAGGTGTGGCACAAACAATGAGGGAATAAGAGACACATGCAGCTCCTATCTACACCTTTGGGAAACTCATTAATTCAGGTAACACAGGCTTGGGCTGACTCCACATTGAATAATTATAGGATTTCAGAGAGCTACAACTCTAGGAATCCGGCGTGGACACTTGGGGGGAGAAAATCAATTGAAGTGCAGCTTTATCCAGTGCCTCTTGAGGGCTAATCAAGTCCTCATAGCTGATCCGTTATCCATAGCTCCTCAAGGTTGAGAGATGAAACTCCCATGTATTTACCCAAACCTGCAAGAAATCACAAACTAGTCCCATGTGAAGCCAGCTGCACAAAATATACAAATCTTTCACAGCACTTTCAACAATAACCGCACAACACATGGCTGGGTGCTCCGAGAGACGCGTCAGGAACGGTCATCTGAAGTTAATATAATGGCAGCCATGAGAGACCAACTGCTTCATCCCCTTCACCCCGAACACATGAAGACTAATGTCCCAAACCTTTGACCCAGAAACAATCACCCACCCGAGGCCCTATCCTGCAATTAATCATCTTTACCGCTGCATTTTGTGCCCGGTGCCGACACTTCACATATATCCACTTCAATTTGTCAAAAGCCAATACTGCAGCAACAGAACAGGGCACTATAGAAGTGAGGGGGAAAGCTTCACAATCTGTTTAGATACGTAACAGCACAATAGTTCTGCAATTCATTTGATTTTTCTTGTAACCCTCAAAAGCTTTGACACTAACAAACTGGACTGTACTAATACAATTTTTACAGAACAGTTAGTATTAGCCACCTTTATTTATACATATTGAATGAATTCTGTGTATTCAACAAGTAATTAGCATCCACAGTGTTTATCAATTAAGGCTTTAGAAATTCAATCACCACAAATCCTACTTTGCAACTATTTTTTTCAATCCCTTTATTATTCGCTGTAGCTGTAAATTTTGTCCAAATAAGAATTCATAATTTTTGCTTCCTTCCATATTACAATGTGCACACTTTTGTTTGTTTTCAGGAAATCCAAATATTGTATTTTGATTTACCAATGACACACGACATGTCTAATAACCTATAATATGTACAGTGTCATGTGATGGTGCTGCTCTCACACCTCTGTTATAATGTTTCAGACAGATGCAGGAGCCTCTCAAAGAGCCATTAAATAGCTTAACTGCCTGCTGACACTCCATCACCTTTGACCCCTTGGCTGGGCGGTAATATTGACTTCAGCTATCAATATTTGAGTGAAGGACCCAGAGGAGTCACTTGATTGATCCGATGTGCTGTCCGAAGATCCGATCTATATGGATATCCTTGGAAGACCGAAAACAGCGGCCACATAGGTGTGATACAAGCAAGCAGCAACATGGAGCCAATTCATAAGGACAAACAATGGGCCAAACACAAAGCCACTCAATCAATAGGAAGAGTGATGCAGCTACAGCAGATAATGTAACACAACTCGGTGTCTCAGTGGATATTTGTCAAGACAGCCAGCTTGGTTATATAATTAATATCCCATGTTAGCAATGAATATACTGAATACATTGTAATTATTATGCTATTGATTTTTTAACCTTGTAGAATCAATAATATTTGACTGGTATTCAAGTTAAAGGGCCCATATTACACTATTTTCTGATGTGTTATAATGTTTAAAAAACATATCTGGAGTTGTGTTTTGTTTAATTCACAGCACAACTCTGCATATTTAGGCTGTGTTCTTCTCTCAAACTGAAAACACTCTGTTCAACCTTGTGGTGTCATGTTGTAATACAGGAAGTGCTCCACCATGTTTTTAAACTCCATACACCTTAGATTTCAATCCTCGAATTGCCAGTCTTTACTGAAGAAAAGGTAAAAGGCTTCTGTTAATCTAAAAACTACCGTGTCAAGACATCACAAGGTGGAACAGAGCATTTTGGGCTTTGGAGATGTAGACAGACTAAATAATAAATAAAAATAAAGGATTACTCAATCATGTGGGAATGAAACAAAACACACTCCACGTATGCTTTTGAGGAGGCAAGAAGATTCTAACACGACTAAAAGCTCACTACTCTATTCAGCACAATAGGACCTTTAACAGTACCTATGCTGGTTTGACTATGTATGAGACAAGCTAAAAAAAATAGTACGTATAGTTTTCCATGTCTTGGCAAGATTGCTACACATCAGCAGCCTCACCACATTACTCTTTCACAAGTTGGCCTGCTGCTCTTTGTGTCAGTTTGTTCCTTCAATATGAACGAGAAAACTAAAGGTCAGATCTTAGGTCTTTAGATATTCCTACTCACTGTGGTTACACAATACAATGTGTGAGTTAAGGCACAAATATCATGTAGTGGTGAGAGGGCACACAGAAGCCAATGGTGGTCTGATCAGCGAATGAATACTGCATTTCATGAAGCCTGTCACGATAAATACTATATTGATTTCATTCAATACATGACAGATGAAACAATACTTTTTGGGGGTCAAAAAATGTGGTTATTTTTCTGTCCTACGATAAGATTTGAGCTGTTGAGGGCTGAATTATAGAATCTATGACTCATTATAAAGATAAACTTACTACTTAAAAGTTGCATTCTCTTATGTATTTATTGTAATTCATATTTTGTTACAATATTTTACATTTAGAATAATTTTTTGGTAATAATTCAGCAATTTAATCATTGGGCAATATTTACTTCAGCAATATATCACACTATAACAAAATTTGCTATTGTGGCAGGTCTAATTGCCCTATATTTTCACTGTGTGAAATATATGTATAAACATTTTGTATAGAATCACCATTAAGAACATTTTATCTGGGTTTGTAAGAATTTGTACTATAGCAGTTACATTACCCTGGGCATAAAGCTACGAGATGAATCAAAATCTACATCGCAGTTGGAATGGTTGCACTACCAATCTTTAAAGACTGCCTTTGTTTAGGTAATCCTCCGCAAACAAGAAAATATCCTCTTCACTGTATCTTATTATGGTATATAAAACTCGCTAATCCTGTAGTTTAAAGCTCTACAAACATATTCTTAAAAGCATGAGATTTGTAGTATAGCTGTTCAAAACTTCAATGAATCTTTATTAAAACTGTGACCCTAATCAGTGAGGAAATTCTTTTTTATTTTTTTCTCTACATGGACAGTTGCTGATATTAATAAAGGTGAATACTTCGCAAGCTACAAAATTACGGTAACTTCCTCCACTTAATATGCAGTAGTGTGTGTGCCTGAGAGTTCTCATACCTGAGCCCCTCTTGGAGACCAACTTGACCTCCTTGGCACTCTTGGTCAGCGTGATGTAGAAGAGGATCAGCAGAGGGCTAGGAGGTCTCATCTTCCCCCCGCTCCTCAGGCCTAAATCACACAAACACAAAAGAAGAAGAAACAGAGGAAGAGTCAGTCAAAGGATCATGTACACACGCGCCACTATCACATCAGGATACAAGCTCACATCAAAACAGCCGCCTCCATTCCCCCTGGGGGGCCTTCCTTCTAATGATTTTTCTCTCATCATTGCTACAGAGACAGGTTATCGCAGCATGGATATATTTCATGAAAACTGTTCCCCGGGATGCTGACAAATCAATAAAGAAATAATTACATGTGTAAGAAACATCAGCTTCATTAGAAATCAGAAAGACCTTGAAGAAAATTTGAGATCAACACCTGGTGATGGCTTGATACAGTCCATACCTCTGTCCCTTAAGCACCAGTATGCATGAATTTCAAGTGTAATTGATGGAGGTGACTCATTCTGCAGCACCCAACCTGCAAGAGTGGAAGGCACCATCTAACATGGACCAATTGTCTCTTAATAGTCAGTCCTTATTATAAAGCAGGATGCAGTTAACACAGCTCTACGTGAGGGGTGTGACTAATAGGTCCAATAAAACATTGGTAATTCAGGAGAAAATTTGAGAGCTTTCATAGTTTTATCTCACATTCACCCACATCCATATATGCCCATTTAAAATACGTTCAAAGTGCTAGCATACATGGATCTTCTTTTTATTATGATTGAGTGTGTATGACACAAATTAATAACCAAACCACTCTCAACTTTCAACACTAATTTTAATTCTGAACAATTATAGCAAGCAGATTCTCTTCTATTATAAAAATATATGGTCTTAAGGGAGACTGGAAACAATTCATAGAAAAAAAAAAAAGAAATAATGTAGAGGCATAAGATAAATGTATAAAACAAATAATGCTTTGGATTCGTCTAGAGCACAGGTGTCAAACATAAGGCCCAGGGGCCAGATCCGGCCCTCCAAGACCTTTAATCTGGCCCTCAGCTGACTTTCTACTAAAATATTGAAATTATATTTTCTATTAAAATATTGTTAATTTTCTGTGGTGTTTATCACAGTAGCGTCTCCAGTGTCTCTGTGCGTGGCCCCTCCCACCAGAGCAGCACAAATGAAGACTTGTCTCTTTCCAAAGGACGATCGTTTTGACTGTTGACCGTGACACCCTCATCAGCAAAATGTCCAACATAAGAAAAGTGGAGCCGAGTGCAGGATTTTCCAAGAAAAACTGACTTATTCCTGTTTACATACAAGTTCATGTTAAAACATTGTGTTGAAATTGAATTTTTCTTAAAGTTTCAGGTTGTTCATAATATTATAATATTTTGTAAAAGAAAGAGTTCATCAATTAAAAAAGATTTCTGTAATAGATTTGTGTTTCTCTGCACAAATATTTAAACTTATTGTTATTTTTGGGGTTTATATGACATGAGTTTTCTGATCCGGCCCCTTTGAGATCAAAGTAGGTTGGATACGGCCCCCGGACCAAAATGAGTTTGACACCCCTGGTCTAGAGCATATCAAGACACACCGTGCTTTACATTGTATTATTCTTTCCTCCCTCACACACACATCACTTTCATACTAGGCAACATAGGTGAAGTGTCTTGCTTAAGGACATAACAACAAGCAACACCTATAATGTAAATTGTAACAAACAAACCAGGATCTGTCTCACCACTAAGCCAAATCAATTACCACTCACTTGAAGGTAGACAATTGACTGCAGCAACCCCAGAAGAGACCAGCCCAAAGCAAAGAATCATTTATTTATACCACACTGAGGCAAAATGAGTGAATGAAGCCGGTGAAGTAGAAAGCAGAGCACCTTGTCCTCTCTCACACGAGGCAGAGCCAGAGCCCGGTCAGTCACGAGCTGCTGCAGATTAGCATAGTTCATGAAAGGAGCCTCTCTTCAAGACCTGTTTACACCCCACTCACAAGGACCACCATTCTCTCCTCCTCCATCACTTCCCTGTGTTTTGGCGACAAACACCGGCACTGCCAATAACACTCTGGCAAACCCCAATGCTCAGAGATTGGCATGTCTTTGAGCCAGTTCATTTACGCAAAAATGCCTTTCAATAAGCTGGAAGGCTCTACAAGTGCATTTGAAATAGTTGGGACAATGTCAATGCAATTCTACATCCAACAGTTCAATCAATCAAATCAATCATATTAGATTTTCAAGTGTTTTAAGTGAGATTTTACATGTACAGTTGGGATATAGAAAAATGGAAGGAGAAAAAAAGTCTTGCAGTAAAAATAAATAAATATCCTGTCTAAAGTTAGAAAAAATTAGACTTTCCCTGAAACAAAATATTGGTGCATTTGAGAAAACATGGGGCCATTTCCTGCAGTTGTACTCAGCTCTTTAAAAAGAATAGAAAAAGAATAAACTGTGGTATGTGAATTAATACAGCACCTGGTATAGATATTCTACCTGTGCGGTGACAGGGTGGGTGGGGGTTTGGATTTGGGTTGTTTTAATTTTTTTTATTATTATTTTTTTTCTTCTCTCTCTCTTCCATCTATTATAATTTGTGCCATTTAACAAGTGGATCTGTTCTGGTGGGGAACTTGCAACTTGGACTTTTTCTAGCTCTGCAGAACTGACATTTGTGAATTTGTTACCTGCCAGTAGCATATATAAATGTATATATTTGGTGTTTTGAAAACAATAAAAATATTTTGATTAAAAAAAAAAATAAAAAAAATGCATATCATCTATAATTAAAACTATTAAAGGGACAGTCCGGAATTTTGGACATAGGATCTGATTTCCTAGTTAGTCAGAGTGTTGGAGACGTATGGAGACACGTTTTTAAAATATTCCATCCAGTCCTTGTATTTACAGAGGTCGCTGGTGTTTGGCTAGTGTATGCCAATGGCCATAGTTAGCCTGCCACTGAAAACAGTCTTACCCACTCCACCAAGCACCTCAAGCAAAGCAATTATTTCGCCAGACTGTCCATGTAAATGTCTGTGTTGACAAAATAATGTCTGAAATAAAACTAACCTTACATCACATGAATCGTCGCATGTTGAGGGACTATTTTCTCAGCAGCAGCAGAATTTTATTTTGCTGGTAAAATAGGTGGTAGGTGATATCAGTCCGCCAGGAAATACAACGCGCTGCTGCTGCTCAGACATAAATCCTTCAAACGCAAGGTTGGTTTTACCTCTAAATGTATTCTATCAACACAGACATTCACATTGATAGTCTGGCGTAATAACAGATTTGCTTCGGGTGTTTTGTGGAGTGGGTAAGACTGTTTTAGTGGCAGGCTAACTATGGCCATTGACATGTGCTAGCCTAGCACCAGCGACCTCTGCAAATACAAGAACTGGATGGAATATTTAAAAAAGTGTCTCCACATGTCTTCAACACTCTAAAATTCTGGACTGTCCCTTTAAAAACGTCTTATGTATATCAAAATGGTGTGGTCCATACACATTATGTGCATGACTTGAACCTCAACCAAGACATATACAGGCATATTTTAGCTAATTCCTGTTCCTGCATTGTTAAAATAGCATCGGAATATTGTGTACAGTACATGGCAGTTATACCTTTGAAAAGCAGGTAATATGCTTCATGTTGCTTTGATGGTTTGTCAAGGTAGAAAATTAAGTTAACCTTTGAATTCAATTGAATGCACAGGGCAGCCATGTCACTGGGATATGAGAAAAGCATATGGAAAAGGACATTATTTGTCATTGAAAATAAATATGCAAAAAACAATCAAACCATTTTCCAGCAACCTTCCAACAGTGTGAGTGTGAACAGTGCTTTCAGTTGCAGCGGGGACTTTACTATCAACTTGAAGTAGCCTCAGAAGTCCAAACATCTCTGAGGTTTTCTTTCCTAATGACTGTATCCCTCATTACACACAAATATTTTTCCCCCGTCTCTGCAAACCCATTTCTAAGCTCTTTAGCATAATTGTGGAAATGTAAGAAAGCAGAGCTGGTTTTTCATACTGATGTACCAGTGGGCCTTTTCTTGTGCAGAGACAGAGGACACAGTAAGACAATAGTGAAGGGACAATGTTCTCATTCCGGTGTTATTCTCCACAAACCTGCACCTGTGTAAAAGCCCTCAATCATGTACAGCCCCCCCAACCCGACCGCTGCTTCATTATCCACCAGCTCCGTGTCACACTCTCGCTGCTTGAAAAATGTGCTTGTTGACTCCCTTGCATAGTAGAAGCGTTTATCATAACATGTCACCGTTCTACTTTAAGCTTCAGACGATTTTGCAATAAAACTTTTCTGTGGTAAATTCTATTCAACATTTCCTCAGTGGCACTGTTCTGTATAATCTGTAATCGTCTTGGCTAGTGGTAATGATTGACAAGTTTTAGAAGAGAGAGTTTCTGCCTCGGTCACACTCTAATTAAATCGAACAAAGTCAGTCCTCCTCCCAGTGTGTCGCCGCCATGTTGTGCCTTCAAGAGCTCGGAGCCTTTGGGTGCTGCCAGCCATGACATCACCAACCTGCCACCCTTAGACAGAGGAGCATTGTTCTCATACAAAATCAAAATGAGTCTTCCGTGACTTTTCGCGAATCTAGTCTAGCGTCAAATTTCAAGGACCATGGAATATAAAGAGGTTGAACTGGAGAGCAGGTCAAACCCATAGATTGAAAGATGAGTAACTGAGCCACTGTGTCTGTGTTTACTGGCCTTGACAAGACAATGGATATGCACCATCTCTGACACATTTAGAGGTGAATTATGTAATAAATATTTGACAATCCAGCCACATTTAGATATATTGTTTTGGTTTAATGCACATTTCTTCTGGTGTGATACAGCGCAGGTGGCGTAGAGGGCATTACTATGAAACAGCAGGTTAGGCCCAGTTTTATAGCAACATCATTGTAATAGCCTCTGATGCAGCTCAGTCATCCAAGTTAATTAACAATAAGGTTCCTGATTGTAATGCTACTTTTTGGATCCATTTGTTAATTAAAACATACCTGAACCAATAAAGTGAGAGCCAGACATTGCCAACTGTC